CAGGGTTTGTAGAACAGTGTTTCTCCTGCTGGCTACAAACTCCTGCTCGCTCCTATTCAGAAAGGGTTTGATTCTCCTCTTATCGCTGAGACAGACAGACAGATCAGTGCTGACCTGAACATGACTTATTTGATATATTTAGATGTCCAATATTCTAGATTCAATGCAGTTAAACCTGACGTTTATTTTGCACATTTATTCTCAGAATATAGCAGTTTGTTGTAGAAATCTGGGCAGGATTACGTACCTTTCCTTGGGTTTAGATGCACTCATCTGTAAAACAAGAGTCAATTTCTATAATTTAAAATGAGTATTTTTGAGGATACAGCAAGTCAGAAAACTCTGATAGGCTGTTTTTAGAGAATTATGATAAACCAAAGAAACAACAGAATAAATGTGAAAAACATTAACAGTATGCATGCGTCAAAGTAAATACAAATATTGTCTAATAGGGAAACGTAAATAAAGTAGAAACTATGTGTGAAATATGTGTTCCAGCTTAAAATGAAAACACTTGAATAATTTAACATTTAAATAATGCGAAAAGCATGATCTGAAATATTTTTTAAATATATTTTATTTATTTTTAAATACAATATTAGATGGCCAAAATACAGCTGATTACTTCAGACATCATGCAATCTTGCATCTTTATAGTTTTTAGAGTCAGATTGCTATTGGATCAAAACATCAGTATATGTTTCAAACATACAATTATTTATAGTATATTTCAATAACGTTGTAAAGATTGTGATGCATAAAAAATGCAAAACTTTGTCACACTGAAATATGACTCCCACAGTTAAATCATTTTTCACCATCATTGTATATTTTTATGCACTTCTGGTAGTGTGCGGGTCACTAATAAGGTTGTCGCATGCAATTTATAATGACATGAAACATTTAAATTGCCCTGACATTATTTATATAAGGCTTTAAAACATACTTACTATTTCTGTAAATCGTGAGTCTTCAATACCACACCCAAAAAACAACACAGCAGTCCTTATCTGACATTCAGCCAGAAGATGCTCTTATATAGGGCTCTGAAACTACACTGCAAGTCTAGACATCATCCTGAGGGTGGGGTTATGAATGATGAATGACTCAATCATTCACTGAGACCAGGAAAAACGTGATATTTCCTTGTATATTTATTATGTAGCCTCTCCTCATGCACCTCACCTAGCTTGTGTGGTAGAAAACAGGTTGTTCTGTTGTCCTTTTCGATGAGAACAGGGGAAATCCTTCATGCTCATTACCAGCAGAACATGCTGCAACATGGTATTGCATAAGGAAGTAGGCTTGCATACGTAAAATTAAAGATTGCATGCATTGTCATTTATGGTGTGCCAGGGTTTGGTTTTAACTTCAACTAACAGATTTCAACTTTGTTTTTAAGAGATCAAATGTGAACCTTGACTGCAATGCAAGTTGCTTTGGATAAAAGCATTTGCCAAAAAAACAACAAAGAGTAAGAATTAGTGTACTTGTTTGCCAAAGAGACTTCAGAGAGATACATAAAATGTGATGTGTGAAGAAAACAGAAACATTAAAGGTGAATCTCGCTTGTGAACAATGTTTTTATTGTTTAATTTTCATCAAGCTATAAATTTGTGAAATGGATCAAAAAACCCATACAATATTAGTTTTAAATTTTGCCACTACATACATTTTAATCCATAAATGTTTAGAGTATTGTCAAATATCATAAATGTTTCAAATACCAGACATCCTATTCTGTGTTTTTGAAGTTCACAAGCTACTACTAAATATTGTAGAAACTTAATTTGCTGTAAAGTTGCTTCGCAATGATTTGTAACGTGAAAAGCGCTATACAAATAAACTTGAATTGAATTGAATAAGAGTCATGTGTTCGTGAATCAGCTACACAGGCGGTGCTGTGTGTTTTTGACTCACTGGATTCATCATTTGTTCATGAATAGTCTACACAGACTCACTAAAAAGAACCATACATTCTTCCTGATTGGACTACACTAGTCACATAACATGATTGCGATGTGTGCAACCTTTATTTCGCATTACACAGTACTTTTATGCCATCACAGTCATGGAAATGTTTACATTTATACACACATTTGCGTTTTATGCACAGGGGTGGCAAAGCTTTTTCTTATGGACATACTAAACACTTCAACTGAAAAATGTGACGTTAATGAAGCCTACCAAAACAGCAGTGGTGGAGGTAATGAATTACAACTACTCACGTTACTGTAATTAAGTCGTTTTTTCGGCACTTGTACTTTCATGAGTATATTTTTAAGCCTGTAACTTGTACTTAAGTACAAATTAATCAAAGTATTCTACTTCACTACTTCACAATTCATTACTGAGTACGCCTTCTGGGGTCCACATCATTAGAAATCACCTTCGGGGCCCTTCTCCCTCGTCGGGCCCTTGGAATCGTCCCAACCTTCCCCCGTTACGGTGCCCCTGTTGATTATGGTTGCACTTATTGTTTGCACTTAATAAAAACTGTTAGATATTTTTATTTACACTGTTTTATTTCTATGTTATATATTGTTTTATTTCTATGTTGAATTTGTGGAAAGTAGTTCAGTTCACGCACAGCTTCAATCAGAAGTTCTAAAAGCTCATAATTCATGTACAATACAAAGATCAGACGAGACTCATGTGAAATCATACTGGAGAGAAGCTAGTCACTTAAGTGATTTGTGGCAAAACCTTTTACAGTGCTTGGATATCATTGCCTTTTACTGCATAATTCATACTCAGAAAGTAATTGAAATTACATTCATAAGATGATAAGGTAAAACATTTTAAAATGCACCTGCAGACTATTTTTCCTGTGATGTATTTTGTCATTGAGGATTTTCTTTTTTTTGTTAATCGTTCTCATTTTGAAATCTTGTGTGGTGCCCAGTCACGTGACTTTTTTGTTGTGGCTGCCGTCTTTAGGACCTTGCGTAGCCTCTCCTTGGTGATCGGAAACCAAAATAACACTTCACCAACAACGGAAAACAATGGTATTTAAAAACAAAAAATAGATACGTTAGGATTAGATCCTTATTTACTGTCAGGCGACCTGCCGACTCCACTAAAGTCTAGTGCATACTTATTAATTTGACGTTTGCTGATAGGCTATTTTACATCTACATCATACACAGTCTCTCTCCGTACACTTGGGCCATTTTCAGTTAAATTTTCACCTGCTAGAGACTTGCTAGAGATCGGCCCGGATCCATCTGCTGCACCCGGCCTGGATGCCTGTGTACTCACTTTCAGATTCCTGTTGGTCAGTTTGTCTCTTCAGTTAAGATTCCCCCCAATTGTTGCAGAAAACATTATATTACATGGTATAATCATGGACAGTGCATGGTCAGACATTTACTTGAACTTACTTTCTCATCGACTCGTAAATGCTCCTTGCTAGTCCAGTCAGAGAAGTATAATAAAGATGATGTCCACTGTCTGACTCCAAGCACTGCTCGTTCACAATCACAGCTGTCTGAGGAACTTCTGCCATTTCTTCTGCGATGACACTAAGAGAAACAATCAGTTATTCCTGTGTCTCTCTACATGCTAAGTGAAGAAGCAACTAAAGTAGCAACAAAACTGTGATTCTGTGTTTTGTTGTAGTTAGTTACATGTGTTTTTTGGCAGTGGTGAGCACCTGTACATATAAGTCTGCTTACATAGCAACTGTAAAAGCAGGACACAGCTACTGCAAATGATCTCAGGCATATTGATGCGTATAAATTTGATTGCAGTACATTGTCATCGTAAAAATCACTGAAACTAGCTTATATATTTAGTTCAATCATGACAACTCTCGGAAGATTTTAGCATGGTGATGGATATGACAATGTTAATGTATTTGGTCTGTTGGTTATTGCTGTAGTTGTAGATTATTGCTGCTGCTGCAAGCAAGTACAGGAACTTGCTACTGCCAGACCGGAGATTTTGATTGGACGAACATTTTATGGTCCTACACCTTCCACAGACAATATAAATACATATAAATAAGTTTAGACCACTTAACTTAATGATTGCTGTAGGGTCAAAAATAATCAAAGACTTCTGCTTTCCTGTCCCAAACCTATCTTGGGTAACAAAAGGGCCATTTGGCATTCCTGAAGGCACAGGGGTGCTGATAGTGATCAAGGCCTGTAGGCCAAGATGTGTATACAATGGGCGTCTACTAATTGTCGCACCTTTTGCACAGTGGGTGCAGCTGTAATCTGCTGATTAGTCAGTTTGAATGTCTCACATTTGGTTTTTAGTCACATTGTCAAGGAAGGGATAAAAGATTGTAACTGTTGCTCTGTCTCTTTCCCTTTGCTGCCTCTTTTCTTTGCTGGTGCTCTCTTCTTGGGGCTCTGGCTTCTCTCCCTCTTTTTCTCCCTCTCTCTCTTTTAAGTCAGGTAACATTTTACATATATGCTGGGTACCATTAACTGTTTATGTTTTACCATCCTTCTTCTATTTTTGTAACCAATTCAAGTGTAACCATAACGGAATACTGTTATTAAACCATTTCAATTATAAATTATGTGCTGACTAGTCTTGATTCAACATTAACATTAACAAGTGCTACCTATTGCAATACAATATAGTCACTCAATAGCAACGCTCTCCCACATATTTAGCTATTCTAACTGCGCTTATTTCCGTTGGTGGTATAAGTGGCAGTGGGTGGTAATAGACTAGAAATGTACCCTGCCTTTAATGAGAAGACTAACTGAAAGCAACTCACTTTGATGTCACTTTTCAAATCAGCATTGTGTAGTAAAGGAATTGTGACTGATGGTCCTAAAATAAGTTGACTATTAAAAAGAACAGCTGAACATCAGTTCACAAATAAAATATGCATGGGTTCTTATAATTATTAATTACTGGTATAAATGTACACATGCGTAAAAAGCACTAACTTGATGAGAAATATACTTTGTTTTAATAAACAGAACATTAGTTACATAGTTGTTGTTTCCTAGATGTAAGTAATGTTTAAGTATTTAATCTGAAAAAAAAATGTGTCAACATTAACTATAACTGGAACATCATTTTACGTAAAAAAAGAAAAACATTAAAACAAACAGTAATGACTTTGCCTCTTCATTTCAGAACATTGTGCGCTCTTCAGATTCTCATTAGTTGTGTGCTTTTTTCCCAACGGCCGCAGCAATCTGCTCCTTCAGTTTCTCTCTGTTGTTTGAGATGTTTTTTCCAGCGACCTCCATAAGATCAGTAATCTTTTCAGCACTGTAAGAATCTTGAAAGGTGTGATATTTTTTCCTCCAGGTCTTAATATCATCTGAAGAAACAGTAATACACTTACATCAGAACATAGATGATGTTCCATTTTTATTCAACTAGACAATCTTAACTTGCCTCCACAGTTGACCACATTAAAGAGAGGGATGTGAATCACAGTCGGAGCGTTTTGGCCTTTGAACACATAGAAGTCCTTTGGTTTCTCCAGGTCTTCACTGGGAATGTTGACTTCAGGGAAAGGGATCTTTAGTTTCTTGCACATCTCAGCAGTTTGCTTCACTGTCTGCAGTGAAAAAGCAGCAAAGCATTCATTTATTGGCTACAGATTTCAGTTGAAATTAAAGTTGATGTTCACTGAAAGCATCAGCTTGAGATGAATGGGAATGCTAGTGGATGCTCATAGATATATGGTTAAAATGAAATCATAATCACTTTTGTTTAAATGGTTTTATTGTTGTTTTTATCTGTTTAAATGATACACAGTATTTGTAATTATCTGTCGATGTTCTTTAAGGTTAGGGTGGTCATGATGAATGTCATGAGTAAAAAAGCAGCACGATTGTTTAAAAAAAAATCTCCTGTTGTTTTCTACTGTACAAAGAAAGTCAGACAGGTTTGTAAAGCCATGACAGAGAGTAAACTTTTTTTTATTGTAGCATGTGCTATATGTGTGTATAAAACCGTGAAAGGATCGCTTTTGCTGAAATCCAGGGAAATGATGAGGTCAGTGTTTCTTTCTTTTCTCAGCACTGAGAAGAAAGGAGAGTTCAGCAACAGTCCGGCATCTTCATAGTCTCTCGTCTCACTTTTATTAAGATTGGAAAGTGCTGTTTTATCTGAGGGATCACAACATGAAATAAGTCAGTTTATTATTCACTATGAATGGCCACCAAGCCCACCGCTCAGGCGATCGGGAGATCGATGGCCAGCCTTGTGGTGCTCGAGCGCCATTTGTGGCTGACGCTAACAGAGATCAAGGACGCGGATATGATCCTCTTCCTCGATGCTCCGGTTTCTCCCAAAGGTCTCTTCAGCACGGCGGTCCAAGGATTTGCCGAGCGCTTCACAGAGGCACAGAAATCGTCCCAAGCTATGCGACATTTCCTGCCTAAGCGCTCCAGCTCCACTGCTGCCTCTGCTCGCCCTAAGTCTGCGCCGACTCAGCAGCCCGGGAAGCCCGCACTTGCCGCCTCCGCCGTTCAGCCCGCTAAGGAGCAGCAGACGTGGGGACGCTCTCGCTCGGCCAAACGCTACCCTCTTCCTAAGAGCCAGGGACCCCCGACCCAAGATTGCGTTGGACCCGGCGCCTGATCTGCGAGACAGGAAGAGGACGGGGTCAGATCTCGCTACGGCTGGACTGCCCCTCAAGCAGCCTCTCTTAGACCTCTTGACACCCCGTTCAACTCCGGGTACAGAGGGAAATGTGTTTTGTGCAAACAACGGGTCCGTTTATGCGCCCAAGCATTCAGCCGCTGTTATAGCGGGAAAAATAAAACACAAACATTTTCAAAAAGAGAGCAAACTTCCTCTTCCATTACTCACAAGTGTTCTGCCCCCGTGTGGCCAGTCACCCGAGTTAATTCAACCCCTCGCCATGCCTGGCAGGCCATCCCCGGAGTGTCGAGATGGGTTATGGGGATAATAAAATGAGGATATTCACTCCAATTCGCTCGAAGACCCCGGTGCTTCAGCGGCGTGGTCCCCACCTCAGTGCAGAGCAAGGACGCTCACGTCCTGCGCTCAGAGGTGATGAATCTGCTGACAAAAGGAGCTGTGGAAATGGTTCCTCCAGCCCAGAGCGAGTCAGACTTCTACAGCCGTTACTTCCTCGTACCCAAAAAAGATGGTGGCCTCCAGCCCATCCTCGATCTCAGACACCTGAATCACACCCTCATGAAAAGTATAGGCGGTCGGAACAACTCTTTGTCAGCTTCGGTAACCGCACCAAAGGGCTTCCGGTCATGAAGCAAAGACTCTCTAGATGGATAGTAGACTCCATCTCGCTAGCATACTCTTCTTTGGGCCTTCAATGCCCCATTGGAGTACGGGCCCACTCGACTAGAGGCATCACCTCGTCTTGGGCACGGTCCAGTGGTGTGTCCATTGCAGATATTTGTGAAGCAGCCGGCTGGGCCTCGCCATCCACATTCGCAAGGTTTTATAACCTGGAAGTTCCGGCCTTGCAGGCCAGGGTCCTTTCCGCCTGAAGTGACATGCGCTGCGTAAACAGATCTGGCAGAGAGCCCTTGGCCGTATCACGCTCAAGTTTTCTGGCATTGTTTCACCTGTTAGCTCTTGACCCCTGGGTGTCTAAGTTACAGGAGTACTCTGGAACGATTAACCAGCCCGTCTTAGCCTTGGGTTGTTGTTGTATGGGCATTGGTTGCTTATGGAAGTTTGATACTTTTAGTCATTCCACTACATTAGCACGGCGTGATTGTACTGTGTTCCCATATGCATCTAGCAAGACGCAGTACGAGTGTAGTATCGAAAGGAAACGTACTCGGTTCCCTGAGATACGGGAATGAGTACTGCGTTGCTAGCCGTGCTATGTACCTGCAAGACTCAGTCGTCGCTTCAGTCGAAGTAACCTGAGAATCCTGTGGCGAACACCTGCTTATATAGCCAGATGCCCCGCCCATTCTGGCAGGCTTTGGCAGGCTTTGGCAGGCTTTGGCAGGCTTTGGCGGGCTTCGTCGCCATAGGCTCATGCAGCTCCGCTGCCTAGCCATTGGTTCGTTTTTAATACACTGCACGAACCAATGGCCGTACAGTTTCACTGCGTGAATGAAAAAAAGGCTTCAGTTCAGGAGAAAAAAGGCTTTTTCCCATATGCCTCTAGCAAGACGCAGTACTTGTTCCTGCATCTCAGGGAACCGAGGTTACGTTAGTAACCGAGTACGTTCTTTGGAAATGAAAAAGGTTTTTGGATGTTTCTTTAGTATTATTTTAGTCTGTTTTGGAAGCTTTATTGAATCTTAGAGTAAAACACTTCTCAGTTCACACATTAATCTGGTTAGAAAATCAAAAGTGAAGTACATTATACAAATCAAATACATTGTAAAGATAGTTCAACCTACTGAAAGGCCAGAAACGGAACCAATGACTCAAATTATTACACACATCTTCAGTGTGTTGCTTCATATATCGTTTTGCAGCTTGTTTATCAGCGAGATTCAGTTTTTCTATAGGAAAAATCAGCTGATGTTTGCCTCCACCGAGCTCTGTAAAAGATGGAAACATGTACATGATTGAGTTCTTGTTATCTGGCAACATGTAGTTTGTGTATTTTGTGTTCATTAGTTTTTGACCAAAAACAGATGTTTTTGAATGTTACTTTACACAGTTTTGCAGTTTCATCAATTAGTTTGTTTTTCATGTTTTACTGTTGCTGAAAAGCCAAGAGACCTTGATACATTTTAAATACAGGTATGTGAAACACCACCTTTTTATTTCAAATAGTGTTTTCAAAAGTATTGATCTCCAATTAAAAGTGTTTTTTTTTTGCCATTCAGCAGACAAAATCACTTGACATTGATAATGTCACTCAGTTGACAAAACAAAACAAAAATAATAAAATAATAATAAATAAATAAATATATATATATATATGATAATCTAGAACATTACAACCCACTGAAGAGTTTGTACATCTGTCTCTCGCAGGCTTAATTTAACTGGCATCAAATTATGCTCACTGTGTTCAGTAGATGGTTTTTTGTTGTTGTTGTTGTTGTTGTTGTTTTTGGACAATTACGGTTGTTAATGTTAAATAACATTTTTTGATTGTCTATTCAGAAACTGAACTATGAAAAAAATATTCACTGCAGTAAGTAGACTCTAGACTCTAAAATAAAAAAAATATATATATTTTTATATATATAAATTCTAACACACTCTTACTGTTCAGTGTTGTTCTGATGGATTGATCAAGAGCAGAAGGATCTTTGACATTTAAAACAGAGAGATTCATGTCCATGAGATCCATGAGCACCTGGAAACACTTTTCTACAGGTGGAGCTTTTGGGTCTTTTGAAGAAAACAAACATGAACACACTGCACACTTTGTCCAAAAGCCATTTCTCATCATCTATTCAGTAACACTTTACAAAAAGGTGCTGGAATACATTTGTTACATTATTTATTCATCATTTATTTTAATGTTAGTAATGTAAGTAGACACAAAACATAAAACATATCAATAAACAAAAGCAGAAATGCTTTACCTTTCCTCATTTCCTCAAACATTTCTGTTTGTATTGTAGGTAATAAATGTTTAAAGAACTCTGGGGGAGGGAATGAAATACAATCATAGTTCATGTGATAGTGAAAATGACTGTCAACTTAGGTAGAACCAAATCTTCAAATGCAGCTGTACCTTTTATTTTTTCCAAGAGAAATTTCTTAATCTCCTTTCCATCAGCTAAAGCACTGCCACACAGAGCTGCAGAAAACACATTTATGTTTAAATGTGCTTACAATAAATTATACAAAAACACATCATTTTTAAATGAAACATGTAATATAACAGTCTAATGCATGAAATTGTCATCTGAGCCTTTAAATTGTTCAGCATTAATGATATCTCCTTTAAATCACTGTGTAATGGGAAGTTTTATGTTCAGTTTTACTCACTGTGCTGTTAAAACTGCTTTAAATGATTTTTAGCATTTGTAAGTGTAATATATTATTTATATTTTAATTTTGACACACGTAGTTCAATGTTAAGTGTCCGTTGATATTATAGCTAAATATTAATAATATCTCCTATAACTTTGTTTTTATGGAAGTTCGTTTTCGCCACTGAATTAAAAAAGTGAAATTAAAAAGGTAATTTGTGACTTTTTTCTCAAAATTCTGGCTTTCACAATTTACCTCAATTGCATACGGAAGAGGATTAGGGCCAAGCAAAAATAAAAAATAAAACCATCTCGAGATTAAAGTCGTTAAATTTCGAGAAAAAAATCGTTCAATTTCAAGAAAAAAAGTCTAGATAAAATGTTGAGATTAAACTCATTAAATTTCGAGAATAAAGTTGTTATGTTTCAGGAAAAAAGTAGTTAAATTGAGAGAAAAAAGTCAAAATAAAATGCTGAGAATAAACTCATTCAATTTCGAGAAAAAAACTCGTTAAATGTCAAGAAAAAACACACTCGTGTCATGTTTATTTCATCTCGTTGGACAGCATTATTCAGCGTCTGCAGCGGGGAGACTTGGCGAGCAAATGCACTGAGTAGCGTATAATACGATCGACCGAGTTCGAGTCCGTCTTTTCCCAAACTCGCTTTTCTTCCTTTTCTCATCACATATCACATCGGAAAAGTGGAAATCAGTTGCTTAACGAGTGTTTAATAATAATGTATTAATTAGGGATAGGCAGGCTATAGGGAGTGCTTTGTTGTCCCAAACACACTCGTGTCATGTTTATTTCATCTCGTTGGACAGCATTATTCAGCGTCTGCAGCGGGGAGACTTGGCGAGCAAATGCACTGAGTAGCGTATGATACGATCGACCGAGTTCAAGTCCGTCTTTTGCCAAACTCGCTTTTCTTCCTTTTCTCATCACATATCACATCGGAAAAGTGGAAATCAGTTGCTTAACGAGTGTTTAATAATAATGTATTAATTAGGGATAGGCAGGCTATAGGGAGTGCTTTGTTGTCCCAAGGCAGCATCTGTTTAATAATTTTAATAAATAATATCATTGTTATTAAAATCAATGTTATTATTGCATCCTGTTAATGTACAACAATACTGAGGTGCAAATAGTATCTGTCACTATTTATAAGTATAAATAGCATCTAATTAGCTACTATTTACACTTATTGCAAAGATCTGCTTCTTTTACATAACATAAATAGAATGGCTATTTTCACTTAGTGTAAATTGTAGTGTATTAGCCTATATGTGGCCCGCCAATCATAATTTACAAATCATGCCGTTTCACAATGTCAACACAAGGTGACAGCACTAAATTTTAGGCCAGATGTATCAGTAAAACGTGAGTGACAACAATTTGATAACTCATATGCGCGGTCATTTCTTTAGCGCGGTACAGCACTACTTGTGTAAAGCGCACTGCACAGATCATTATTAGCTCTGCCTAAACACAGCGGAGCGCCAGCTCAGAACAAATGCTTTTACTCACTGACAGGTCTAGATCAGGTGACCACTAAACAGCGCTGTGAGAAGTGTTCGAGTTTGGAGCAGAGCTCTCCGATACAAACCACAGACTCTGCGATGATTTAAACACGTTTTAAAGGCAGATGAAACAGCGCTGCCATTCTCAACAGCACTGACGCAGAAAACAGGAGAAACACTGTGTGACAACAATGCAGTTAGAATACGTTTCAGTCCACAAATTAATATTTACAATGGATTTACTGTAGTAACACTGAACCTATAATTAATACATTATTATTAAACACTCGTTAAGCAACTGATTTTCACTTTTCCGATGTGATATGTGATGAGAAAAGGAAGAAAAGCGAGTTTGGGAAAAGACGGACTCGAACTCGGTCGATCGTATTATACGCTACTCAGTGCATTACTCTCCAAGCCTCTCCGCTGCAGACGCTGAATAACGCTGTCCAACGAGATGAAATGAACATGACACGAGCGTGTTTTTTCTCCACTAACAATTTTTTTCTCGAAATTTAATGACTTTTTTCTCGTACTTTAATGAGTTTATTCTCAACATTTTATTTCGACTTTTTTTTCTCGAAATATTATGAGTTTTTTTCTGGAAACATAACGACTTTATTCTCGAAATTTAATGAATTTAATCTCAATATTTTATCTCGATTTGTTTCTTGAAATTTAACAACTTTAATCTTGAGATGGTTTTATTTTTTTATTATTGCTTGGCCCTAATCCTCTTCCATAATTGCATGATAAACTTGCAATTGCGATTTTCAGAATTGAGTCAGAGTCAGAATTGAGGGATATAAACTCGCAATTCTGAATATTTTTCTCGCAATTACGGACTTATTTTCTCAGAATTTCAAGATATAAACTGAAGTTTTGACTTTTTTCGCAGTTCTGATTTCCAGTGTTGGAGGTAATCAGATTACTTTTTTCAAGTAACTAGTAAAGTAACTCATTACTCTTTCATTTACAAGAGAATATCGGAGTTACTTTTTCAAATAAGTAACGCAAGTTACTTTTTTTTTCCAATTTATTGATTGACAGCTCTCCTGCCCCCATGTTGAGAGAAATCAGAAGATGTTACTGTAGTTCTAAAATAAATATGAATATGCATTAATTCATCTCACTCACACAAAAAAAACACAGATTCAGTATTCCTCAGAATGAATTTTAAAAATGCAACTCAGAATATGACGCAAACCTGCAATAATTAAATGTTAAACAACACAAATATCCTTTATGTATTTAATCCCATTCTATTAACCAATGTCTTTGCTTCTGACCTTCGATGATCCAGATCCACCGTACTAATAAGCAAAAATTACTCTAGACAAACATTTGTGTGTTTTTTTTATTGCTGAAGTGTGTTGAAATTTCTTCTTCTGCATTCTACTGTACGGACGTAAATTTACATTTCCTTCAGCCTGAGGCTTATTAATTTCAAGTTTGGTGTGAAAAGGCTTTTATATTTGCCAAAAATAGAACTTTTTTATTTTAAAAACAAACAAGCAAGCTCTGTCCAGATTTCAAAAGTAACGCAAAAGTAACGTAACGCATTACTTTCCATAAAAAACTAACTACGTACCGTAATTAGTTACTTTTTTATGGAGTAAGGCAATATTGTAATGCATTACTTTTAAAAGTAACTTTCCCCAACACTGCTGATTTCTTTTCTCAAAATTGAGATGTAATTCAGACAAATCTGAAATATGACATACCATATTACCTAAGAAGTTAAAGTAAAAACGTTAGAAAACTGCGCGCTTTTAAAGGACACAGTTTAATACATGGGCGGTGTAAGTCGCACACGGACAAGAAGCGCCGCGTTTAGAACAACTCACAGGTTGCACCGAGTTCAAGACAGCAGTTCAAGAGAGTTAACACAAAAGTTTACTTCAGGAATTAACAAAGTTGCGTCGATGAGTTTGAAGTACGGTGTTTGACAAAACAGAGCAAAGGAAAGAGAAAGCGCGATCTATGGCTGTCATTAGCTCAAAGCATAGCCTACTGACAGAAAGACAAAGTCGTGCTGAAAGAATCTCCCAGTCTAGGATGAAGTCATTGTGTACTTCAGCAAATATTTGGGACAAATATAATGTGATTTTATGGTAGGCTAAACTATGTAAGTGGCGCTGCAGGATTTGGAACACGTGTCCTGACTGAGTCGCAGCAGACAGAATTAAACTTAATGTTGTTAAACTGAATGCAGTTGTTAAACTGTACAAAGCAAACTGCTAGCTGAAATATACACAAAATAAAAAACAACACTGAGATAGGAGCGTGCGGTTTATCTGTCAATCAGAAACGCGTGAAAGTTGTATTCGTTAATACAGCAACAGTAGAGTTTCCTATCAGAATCATCATCGATCCAGTTGGATTAATATCAAAATAAAGTGATGCATGATTAAGACACTCGGCAGGCTGATGCTGTTGTATGCTGTTGGATCACAAAATCTAAATAGTGTAATTATTGTCAAACATAGGCCTACTAACATGAAAAAAAAATGAATATGAAAAATTATATTAAAATATTGAATATGAAAAATTATGAATATGTTGGCTACCTATTAATAAAGACTTTATTACTTGAAACTGCGGTGAGTCATAAATGCGAAAATTACTTAGTGGTTGGGTGCGCGGAGGGGTGGGGGGTGGGGGGTATCTGCCGTTATGTCCCACCAATGTCAAAAGCAGATCTATGCCTTTGAGGTATAAACTCATAGTTGCTATTTATAAAGTCCAATTCTAAGGAAAAAAATATGTTTTCTTACAATTTAGACTTTTTTTTATCACGCAATTCTGACTTTATAACTCCCAATTGCAGTAGTCGCAATTAGGCTACATTTTTATTTTTGTTCAGTGGCAGAAACTGGCTTCCATATGTTACCTTGCAGGTACAGCATGTCCATTTCAGGCTGGTGTTTTTTCTTTGAGCCGTTGTCAAACTGGCTGCCAAAGTTGCAGGTTTCCACAAACGCTCCAGTGAGGGAATAACCAGCTTCATGTGGACTGATCTCAAACCAGGGGTCTGCAGACAGAAAACACCTCAATATAACAGCAGACACAAGCACAATAACACTATGTGTTTCAGACACACACACCAACACAGACCTTTCTCCTTGATGCTCTGTTTGCATTGCTTGTCGATCACTGTGTAGATGGGAAACGGGTTTTTATGGTCCCACTGATCTGTGAGTGTGTGTTCGTCGATCTGGAAAGTTGTTGTTGGATTTTCCCATAACATGTAAGATATGAAAAGTTTCAACTCTAACCAATATGTCATATCCACATAATTATTTATTTGATGAAAGTCTGTGTATTATTAAGCGGTACATTATCCTTTAAAATGTTTGTCTTCCTTGAAGCTGCTTTTGTCCGTCTTGCCTCAAATAATTCAGATTGGCCAGATTTTCAATGTGGTCTCAGACTTGCAGACTTGCAGTAGTTTGTATCAGAGGAATGATATAGCATTGTTTACCATCCTATATTATGTGTTTCACTTCCCTTGGCATCGAATGATCAACAATCTATTGAAAATATACCACTTTTTAAAGTGTGCATAAGGGTTGTAGTATGAATATTTACAGACCTCTTTCACATATGCTGTGACGACGACCGCTGCCCAGAGGTCAGTCAAGCTGAAGAAGTCTTTCCCGTAGTAATATTTCTTCAGTTTGGCCATTGCGTCTGTCAAGCTGACTTGTGGACCTTTGATTCTCTCGACGATTCTGTCTTTCACGGTCTCTAGTTTGGTGGACCAGTCTGGTTCTTGGTATAAGGAGGCCATGCACCTTCAGAGAAGCACATACTGCTCTCATTTTTGACATTCAACTCAATTGAATCTCTGTGTGTTTGTTGTTTCTCAGGGTTCGTACCAGGTGGATCCAGAGACTCCGCTCAGATAAAGGATGCAGTCCAGAAGACCCGCTTTATCAAGCTGAACCAGGGATCCCAGCAAACCCACCATGGCTCTTTGTCCTCCTCCAGAACCCAGTAATGCTATGTGTGGCACCGCATCCTGAAACTGATTTTTCAAATATTTTATTATCAGCAACAAGACCATTTGGTAATTTCAAGAAGGAATAGCAAGCACATATGTGACCCTGGACCACAAAACCAGTCATAAGTGTCAATTTTCCAAAATTGAGATTTATAGGTCATCTGAAAGCTGAATAAATAAGCTTTCCATTGATGTATGGTTTGTTAGGATAGGACAATATTTGGCTGAGATACAACTATTTGAAAATCTGGAATCTGAGGGTGCAAAAAAATCTAAATATTGAGAAAATCATCTTTAAAGTTGTCCAAATGAAGTTCTTAGCAATGCATGTTACTAATCAAAACTGAAGTTTTGATATATTTACCGTTGGAAATTTACAAAATATCTTCATGGATCATGATCTTTATTTAATATCCTAATGATTTTTGGTATCAAAGAAAAATCTATAATTTTGACCCATACAATGTATTGTTGGCTATTGCTACAAATATACCCCAGTGACTTAAGACTGCTTTTGTGCTTCAGGGTCACAAATATGAAATGGATGTTTTACCTGACTGCAGGGTATGTTGAGTTTCTGCAGACTTTGAAAAACCGTTTCTCTCCTTTTGATTACGAACTCTTCCTCCTTCTTATTCAGAGAGTGTCCGATTCTCACCTCCCTTCTGCAGCCGAGACACAGACAGACAGACAGGCCAGTGCTGAATGTAACTATACTCATATTTAACATATTCTTAATTAAAATTTGAATACAAAGTCTGACGGTTTTATTCAAAGAATTATCCAGTTTGAAATAGACATTAATTGTGTCTAGGGAATCTGAGCAGAATTACTTTTCCTGAAGTTTGGATGCACTCATCTGCAAAACAATAGAGTTGACATTCAAGTTAAAAACAATAATCTTAAAAAAACATTTAGTGAAAAATCTTTTGATAAACTCATGCACTGTTTTTTGTATATAAGTATTACTGGAGTACGTTTTAGAAGAAAATACTATTTTAGTTTTCAAAATTTCATTACTTTTATTACTTGCTATTTATTTGTAATTATTTGTAACATTTACTAGCAATTTCTGAGTGAAAATTGTTGCACTATTTTTTGCAGTGTTTCAAATGTCAATTATTAAACCACAGTTTTTAACACTTTAGCTTTAAAACATATACTGTACACTCACTGTTCTTGATTAGTCTTGTAAAATCCTGAGATTCACCAATAACAAAGCAGCCGTTTTCTCTCAGAATGGCTAGAAGATGCTCTTTTATCAGCTCTGGATACTCGTGAGGGCTGGAGATGATGAACCGGACTTCAGAGAGCAGAAAACATTCTTTCAAGTAATTTCCTTGTTGGGAAAATCTTCATGCAAATTTGCAGTACAAATGCGGTAAATTATTAAACAGGGAAAGTAGACTTTCACAAGTGAAGTATTTTACCCATGACTGCATTTCTATGACTTTCTTTGTATTATTGTTTAACTACTTTTATGTCCCATGGGTTTAATTTTGATTGAAACAGATCTCAGCTTTTGTTTTGTTGTTAAACGGTGATCACATGAAAACTGTGTTGAAAACTCATAATTTATTTCTACTTTAGACTTTTATGTCTAGATTGTATTGTTTTACATTTGTTCTTTCAATCTTCAACTATAAAAATCCATCATTAAAACAGGCTATCGTTGCATTTTTTAAACTATGATAATCTGATCAAAGAGTACAATTATAGATATAGGGTTATTGTAGTTAACTATACAGCAGCTTTAAAAAGACATTATTTGAAATAAAATCTAAAATATTTCTTTTATAACTTGGTTTATGTCAGCTATGGCCAAGGCAACATTTCTCATTTTAATTGAGTTTAACTTGATTTACCAAAATAACACTGAAATAAAACACAGTTACTAAAATAACACCGAGTGTCACAATGACACTGCTGTCCCTCAGGACATGTTTATGTAAGAGGTCAGGGTCAGTTTCTTTTCCAAAGAAAAACATGTCAATTATTATATCACATGACATAATTATTATATCACATGGTGCAATTAAATCAATTTCATTGGAACTCTCACAAAAGACTCATGGACTGTTTATTAACTCAGTTTTTTGTTTGTTGTAAATGATTAAATAGAATGAGTTAAAGATTTATAAGAATATTTATGTGCTACTTTAAACACAAAGGCTATTTTTATTAAACACAGTGAAGTAGGCCTACTAATACAGCCCAAACATTTCTGCATGTTTAAGCTCGAGAAACTGCGGATTAAAAATGTTCTTCATGTTTTGGCTGGGACTGAATACTATGGATGCTGTTTTAAGTCAATGCAGGAAAGCACAAGCAAATAAAGAAGTACTGATAGGGGTTTTATTTGATATTGAGAAAGCACAAGACATGCTTTGGAAAGAGGGGCTTTTAATTTAACTTAATTGTATGTGAATAGGAGGGAAGCTGTACGACTGGATTAATGGATTTTCTGCTTGAAAGAACAATACAAGTAGAGTATTCAAAGATATACAAGATAGATAATGGAATTCCTCAAGGAAGTGTGTGCAGCCCAGTGTTATTCAATATTATAACAAAAGATTTTTAAATAATGCGACATAGGAAGGGCATTATTTGCAGATGATGGGGCAATATGGAAAAGCAGACTTAATATTGCATGTGTAGCCCATCGAAAAAGTTGAAAAAAAAAAGCAGTGGATTAAGTAGAGACATGGGCAAATCATTGGAGCTTTAGATTATCAGTGGCTAAAGCTCAAGTCATATGTTTTAGTAAAAGGAAATATTTAAAAGGAGTAAACATCTTACGATGCTTATCAGGGGTGTAGCCTGAATATACTGTACATTAATTAGATCAAGTGTGGACTAGTATAATATATGGATTTGCATCTGAAACCAAACTTGAAAAGATTGAAGCAATTCAGAATCAAGCTCTAATAAGAATACACTGTAAAAAAAATTCCGTAAAATTTACGGTAAAAAACCGAAGAAAAAACTAAGAAGAAACATAGTTATTTCAGCAAAAAAAAACATTTTTTTTCAATTTACGGTTATTCACTGTAAATTATACGGTCTTTTTCACTTCCAAAAACGGTAAACTACCGTAAAATTAATGTCCAATACATATAATGTCCAATACAGTTTTTCACTGTATATAGTAGGGGAATTTACCATTAACCATTTAACAGGATTTTACTGTAGAATTTTTACAGTCTTTTACCGTTAAATTCACAGTCATTTTTTACAGTGTATGTTTTGGTGCTTTCAGAACATCTCCCATTGCAGGCAGAAGGAGAGAAGCTCCTTTATACCTTCGCAGATATAAACCAAGAATGAATTATTGGGTCAATATAAAAGATCACAAAGAGAGTTATCCAGTAAAGGGAGTGATAGAAGAACGCTGAGAACATGGAAACAGAAACATGAAAAGTTTGGATGGTCTGCAAACAGGGAAGTCGCTGGTATTGCAGATTGTGAACAGGTTAGATCAGGTTTATTCATCATGGTTGCATTTGCAATGCCTGGGACATGATTCAGCCAATGGGGTGAGTTTGGGGCGTGGCTCCTCGTTTGTTTAACCAATGGCAGGGTGGTGTAGTGTTTAAAACCTGACTTAAAATAGAAGTTCTCAGATCTGATAATTACTACTAAATTTTCCAAGAAAGGTAAAAAACTATGGTTCTAGTCATACAAAAAAATTATAAAAGCTCTGGATTGTCCAATCAGCATCCAGGATAACAGCTATCACTTTGATTAATAGTGAGCATTTGTGCCGTTTAAAAATTCAATGGCCAGGACAAAACCGTATTTTTATAGAACAGTTTATTAAGTCATTGGAACAGAAGCAAAGCAATACAGTATTTTAATTAGTAATTGTAATCACATCTGTGTTACGGTTGATTTGATTATTAATGATTATCTATTTATTGCTTAATGAACGTGAAGCTGTCTGAAGGAACAGACTGAAATGTGCAAAAACATTCAATAGAAGAGTGCCTCCGTTGTGCTGTGCTGTGATTGGCCAGTTACACTGTTAAACCCCGCCTCTCAATTCCATTTACGCTCTGCATCTGCAAATCCATCTGAATGAACAAATAATGGTGTCAATGGGAAAACTAATAAAAAGTCAACAACTCACTTAGATATCACCATTTTATGTCAGGTCACATTCAGACTGGAAATGACTTGAAAACAATCAATGAGCTACTTTTTCTTCTTCTCAGTTTGGTGATCTCTGTAACTGATGGTCTGAAAATGAGTTGACTAAAGAACAGCTTACCATCAGTTATTTAACCTGAAAAAATCAGCTGAGCATTAAGTGTAACTGGAACAGAACTTTACGTAAAAAGAGAAACACATTCCAACAAACAGTAATGACTTTGCCTCTTCATTTCAGAACATTGTGCGCTCTTCAGATTCTCATTAGTGGTGTGCTTTTTTCCCAACGACCGCAGCAATCTGCTCCTTCAGTTTCTCTCTGTTGTTTGAGATGTTTTTTCCAGCGACCTCCATAAGATCAGTAATCTTTTCAGCACTGTAAGAATCTTGAAAGGTGTGATATTTTTTCCTCCAGGTCTTAATATCATCTGAAGAAACAGTAATACACTTACATCAGAACATAGATGATGTTCCATTTTTATTCAACTAGACAATCTTAACTTGCCTCCACAGTTGACCACATTAAAGAGAGGGATGTGAATCACGGTTGGAGCGTTTTGGCCTTTGAACACATAGAAGTCCTTTGGTTTCTCCAGGTCTTCACTGGGAATGTTGACTTCAGGGAAAGAGATGTTTAGTTTCTTGAACCTATCAGCAGCTTCTCTCACTGTCTGCAGTGGAAAAGCACCAGAATTAATTTATTGAAAGGATTAGACAGATTTCAGTTGAAATTTAACTTGTTATTGACTGAAATCATGAGGCTGAGATGAATGGGAATGCTAGCGGATGCTCTCTCCAGGTGTTATAAATAAATACCAATTAAAATGAAAACGTATGCACTCTTGTTTAAAGTGTTCATGAACTGAGAAACCAAAATTCTCTTGATAATTTGACAAAGAGAGCATTGTACTATAAAAACATCCTGTAAGTTTCAGAACACAAAACTCTTCAGATTCTCATTAGTGGTGTGCTTTTTTCCCAACGACCGCAGCAATCTGCTCCTTCAGTTTCTCTCTGTTGTTTGAGATGTTTTTTCCAGCGACCTCCATAACTTCAGTGATCATCTCAGCACTGTAAGGACCTTGAAAGGTGCGATATTTGTTCCTCCAGGCCTCAACTTCATCTGAAGAAATAACAAAACACTTAAATTATATATATATATATATATTACACACTTAAATTTTTTTTTTTAATATAAATAAATAAAAATAAGTGTATAATTTTATCGTTTAACACCAAAACTGATAACTATATTAATGCACCAGTGCACGATAACATTCTGTTCATTATAAGTGTGTGCCGCAGTTTTGCTGTCTGCTGCTTTAAAGGGGTAATGAACTGAGAAACCAAAATTCACTTGGTCTTGTCATTGTACTATAAAAACATCTTGTAGGTTTCAGAACTCAAAACTTTGTCGTTAGTCTAAAAACAGCTTTTTTTTTTTTTTTGAAGGCAGTCTGACAAGCTTGTGGAATGTTCTACTCTATGATGTAATAGTGTGGATAAACCCCGCCCCTGCAGAAGAAGATCAACGCCTGCTTCTACTTGTCTACATCACTACCCGTTTAGCTCCGCCCACCGGTTCGCACATGTAGTGTTTACGAGAAGCGAACGCACAGGTCTACGCAGAAACCAAACGATAAAGATGCTCTGAAGACAACAAGACGCTGTGCAGTGCCATGATGTAGAAAAACAGTGTTTTCTTTGCATTCCCTCTGATCCCAGCGTTAGGAAAAAGTGGATGAACTTTATTTTTAATGAAGATCCAGATTGTGTAAGAACTTGGTCATTTGTTCACTACATTTTAATGCGGATTCGTTGACAAACAAGGAACAATTCGATACGAGATTTTCCGAAAGCTGTGCCACCTATATTGGATCCGACAGTACTGTTGCAACACAAGCGTTTTCATTACGTGATCACTATTGCTTTGTCTCTTCTTACAGATGGTTTGATATGTATTGAGTTATTTGTGTGTTTTTGACCTAAATCATAGCAGTGGCCATCTATGAGGAATGAATGCTGTCAAACATATACAACTATTAGCCAATCATAGCAGTTTACTTCTAAAAGTCTAAAATCTGCCACACCTATTCAAACAGAGCGTTCTGATGAGGGGGGTAAAAACAGCCAAATACAAACAG